TATTTTATACGAAAACAAAAATAAAGCCAAATATAAACAAATAAATCGTAAAAAACACGCTTGTTGCTATTTATAGATACATGATTTGATTACAAATAAACAAAAGCACAATATCAAAAATAATGCGCAGAAGTTTGGAAAAAAAAAAACAAATAACACCTAAAGCAGAATTGGAAAATATAGGAATATAAATAAATAACTGGCTTTGTTTTTTGTTATTAATATTTGTTAAGGTCTATTAATTTAACGGATATTTAAGTAATAACATGGCGTATTAATTTAAAACTAAAGGGTAATGTAACTTGGAGTACGTGCTGTTTGCTACGTCAACAATTCCTCCCCTAAAAAGAAAATGATAAACAAAATGGGGTTGTTTGTAGCCCCAAACATGCGCATCATACCAATTATTTTGTAAAAATTTTATTAAAAAAGTCTTTTAAAACATAATTTATACAACACAGACTAAATAATTTATAAAATATAACATTTTCTTTAAAAAATGGTCACCTTTTCTAAAGAAAAACATCGTATGATAACAGTTTGTAATCATGTTTACTTATTTCTTTCATTCAAAAAAAGACTTGTTTTTTCTTCGGTTTGTTTTCATTATTAAAACAACAAAAGCTTAAACAAACCAGCAAAAACAGCAACAAGAAAAAAACAGTAATAAAAAAATCCCACTACAAAACAACAACACGGCAATCATAATAAAAAAATGTATACACCTAAACTCATACACACACACACAACTAAAAAACAATAGCCATAGCAAAACAAAGAATATTTTGTAGCGAAAACCTCCAACAGCAACAAAATGAACTGAGAAACACAACAAAAAACAAAAGCTGGCATTGTAAACAAAGCCAGCTGCAAACAAAACAAGAGCTGCTGTAGGGGAAAAGCAACACGAAATGACGAAAAAAAAAACAAACATGGCCGACTAATACTTCTTTTTTTTTAATTTTTTTTTAGCTTTTTAACTTAAAATACTTAAAAATATTGAGAAAATTATGGACAAAACATACTAAAAAACTTACCGCCCAGCAAATCTTCATTCATTTTGGTGGAGTAGCCGACATTTTGTAGGAAAAAATTTTGCTTTTTTTTTTTAAATAAAACCAAAGAATAAAAAATCTTTCAAGTTATTAACCGTTTATTTCTTTGCGTGATATTTTATATGCTCAACACTTTCGTTTATGTTTTGCTTTTTAACTCTTTGTAAAATAATTAACAAATTGCGTAGTAATTTCGTAAAATTTGTTTTTTTTTAATTTTTTTTTTTCCTTATTAAACTTTAATTTTTGAATAATATTTTACTTTATAAATATTTCTTGAAATTATATTACTTTATTTTAATTTCAATTTCACAATATCTTTAATTATAATTGTAATGTTTTCTTTTTCTCTATTTTAAAAATCTTGGTCTTCCCACGAACAGGTCTGGACGACTTTTATTTAACGAATAAAATTTTATTTTGTAGATGAAAGACACAAAATCAACAACAAAAGCCCTCAAATAAAAAGGTAATGACAGCTGCTTTTTTCATAAGAAATACAACTGTCAAAGTCGCTTTGTTGTTCTCTGCTTAAAAAAAATTGTGTTTAAAACAAAAACAACAAATATAGGAAAAATTGACACTTGTATGAAACAAAAACATAAACAGCTGTTAAAATAACTCGCTCTTGCTTAACCGGTAAACAGTGTTAACAATATAGTGATTTTTAACTAAACAAACCAAACATATGAAAGACAAAATATAAAAATAAACTTAAAACACTAAATTATATTAAATACTAAGTAAATATCATCATTAATAAGCAAAAAGCTTTATAAAAATTAATTTTATTAAACATTTGCAAAAAATGTTTTAATTTTCTAGAGATTTATCTTAAAACAAATGTCGATATTACTCTTATTATCCGAACTTGGCAGCACTTTCATATACATGTCAAATAATTTGTTTACGTTGTCATTTAACAAAAAAAAAAAATCTAGTGCAAAAAACAACACAACATACAGAATTTTTTTATTTAACTTAAAAACCTAAAAAATGTTTGTTTAATTTTACTTTAATAATAAATTTTAAGAAAACGTCTTAACTATAACCACAACATGAAAATAGCCGATGCTTTAAGACGTTTAGATGCCTATCCCCGTACCTTGGAAGATTTTAGTGTCAGAACGGTTTCAGGGGCAGCCGGTAAATACCTATTTTCTCGAATATTTCCTAAATTTCACATTAATATTAAACGAAATAACTATTTTTTAGTTACCATTATTAGTAGCAGCATTGTAGTAATATTAATATGTTTGGAATTTATGGCGTATATGACTCCAAATCTTACGGAAGAACTATTTGTGGACACCACCCGTGGCCATAAGTTAAGAATTAACTTAGATATAACTTTACACAATTTAGCATGTAATTATTTGTCTTTGGATGCTATGGACTCATCGGGTGATCAACACTTGAGAGTTGATCATGATATTTTTAAGCATCGTTTGGATTTACAGGGAAATCCTTTAAAGGAAGTGGATCCTATTAAGGAAATAGTAGCCGTTTCACCCTCAAATAAGAATAATACTTGTGGCAGTTGTTATGGTGCCGAGAACAATAGTACACAGTAAGTTTAGAGTGGAGGGAATGGCGAAGGAATAGTTCTTTCATGGAATATTGATATTTTGGTTTCTTTTAGCTGTTGCAATACCTGTGACTCGGTTCTAGAGGCCTATCGCATGAAGAAATGGAATGTCCAACTGGACAAAATTGAACAATGTAAAGATCAATTTAAACGTTCCGATTTAGATGCTTTTAAGGAAGGTTGTCGGGTACAGGGTCATTTGGAAGTTAATAGGGTGAGTTTTTTTAATGTTTCTAATTGTAACTCGATTTATTTTAAATATAAAGAATAATTTAAGTGAAAATTCTCTGTAATCTGTCAAAAATAGTGCTGAACACAAATTAAAAAAAAAAAATTCTATATAACCTCAAAAATGTAAGACTTGCTTCAAGTACCTTATCAGCATTATAGAAAACCTATAAATTTACTTAAAAGTAGCATAAAATTAAAGAATTTTCAGTAAAAATTGTAAATTTTAACCTATTTCTCGCGAACATTTCCTTCTATTTACAGATGGCTGGTAGTTTTCACATAGCTCCCGGCAGTAGTTTTTCCATACGACAATTTCATATACACGACTTCCAAATAGCCGATGTAAAACTCTCCCACACCATTAATCATCTTTCGTTTGGTGACAAAATCGAATTTGCCAAAACCCATCCCTTAGATGGTGTAAAAGTGCTAACAGAAGGTAAGTGTTTCTAGATTTTTGTCATTTATTTTCGTTTTAAATTTATAATATTAGTATAATTTGTAATTAATAAGTAAACTTAACAAATAGTAGCTACTAAAAGCGTTAGAAATCCGGCCAAATGTAATAATAAATCCTTGAAGATTAAAACGGCCACTAAATTAACAGCGTATACCAGTACCAATGGCCATAAAGGTGCCAAAAGTGCCACCACCCTGTAACATGACTTTGCCCACATTGTTGATCAATTCACGTCCTCTTAAACCGTATCTGTAAGAGAAACAAAACAAAAAATCTAGAATGTACTTTCTTCTACCCAACCGTAAACATTATGTAATGCCGGCAGACAACCAACCGGCCTTTAGGAATTTAATGTTTTCTATATAGTTTTCTTTTAAAAATTTTACCTCAAAGCTGAAAATCCACCAAATAGAGCACCACTGGCCATGCCCACACAAAAACCAATGGTAAAGCCAGTTTTCATTTTCTCAAAACACGAGGGTCCTTGTTGACCAAATGCACTGCTGGGCATAGGCATGTTTAATTTTTTTTTTTTAATTTATTTTATAACTTTTTAATAATTTAATTAAAAAATAAGGTTTTGTTTATTATGTGTTTAAAACACTTTAATTTTTTTCTCTATTTGTTGCAAAAATGTGAAAATTCCGTATAAATGTAATTCTTTTTCTTTCTATAATTCTTGTTCTTCTTTAGGTTTGTTGTTATGTCAAATTATCAAAAACGTCATGTGTGTATGGTAGCACAGTGCCCTCTATATGTCAAATTTTATTTACATTATCATTCACAATAGTTTAGTAGAAGTTATTGTACTGTTTGTTAAGGATTTTAAACGTTATTTGTAGCATGATATACAAAATTACTATAATTCTAATTTTTAATGAAAAAATGTAGTTTTTTTTTTTATAATATTATTTTTTACCTTTCAGAATCTAAATCGGAAATGTTTAATTATTATTTGAAAATAATACCCACTGTTTATATGAAGGCCAATGAGGAGGCTCCCATTTATACAAATCAATTTTCCGTTACCCGCTATCGCAAGGATTTGAGTACAAAAGAACGTGGCATGCCAGGCATATTTTTCTCCTATGAATTGTCACCGTTAATGGTGAAATATGAAGAACAGCAAAGGTATGTTTTAAGAAAAATATTTACAAAAAAAACAAAATTTTTTAAAGAAATAAAAAAAATTCATAAAAAAACTTTAAAATTTGAAAAAATTTTCTATAATATTAAATTTTTCTTTTCAGATCATTTGGTCACTTTGCTACCAATTGTTGTTCCATTATAGGTGGCGTTTTTACCGTTGCGGGTATAATAGCGGTATTTCTCAACAATTCCTGGGAGGCTTTGAGAAAACTCGAGATCGGTAAACTAAGTTAACAGCTATATTTATACAACTATATACCAAAGGTGCTGTTTACTTTCAACATTATAAAGCTCCTCTATAACTTTTCCTCAATTTATTCCTTTTAAAGCAAAAACAAAAATATTTCTTTTTATAAACTCCTCGCTTATTAACTTGACGACAATTGCTTTTGAAAAGCCTTGGCATTCCTTAAAGAAAAAAGTATCTATTTTGTAATTAAGTAAACGAAGAAAAATCTCAGACAAAAACATTTTTGCCAACAAATTTGTAACATTTTTGAATTAAGAAAAATTGTAATTTATGTTGTAAGTTTTTTTTTGCAATAAAGTTTTTTATTGGAAATATGTTTAAGTAGTTCTTTTGCCTACTGAAAGAAAGCCGGAAGTATTTGAGAAATATTTGGCATTCATTTCGGTTTGAGTCTTTTCCGCGGCCTGGGGATTGACAATTTCTAAGCCCTGCAAGGGAGTAAAGGCTACACTAGAGGCTGTACCGGATATCTGACGTTTTACTGTAGTACTGCCACCATAGACCTGTTGTTTTTGTAGATTCTTTTGTAAGGTCTTGCTAATGCGCACTTTAGTCTTTTCATCCACTTGTGGCAGACGTATGCGTCCTGTGCCAGTTTTTCCTATAGTGCCACGAGAATAACCCAAATCATCTTGATAAGCATCTTCCTCAATCTAGGAAAAAATTTTTTTGAATGAAAAATAATTAAAAAAAAAATTGTATACTAAAACTTACATCTCCAAAGTTCATGCGATTGGCTTGTTTACGGAATTCAGTTAAAGCATAACGTTCTTTCATTTTTCTCACTCTTTTGCCACCTCTTTTCTTCTTACTACCCTCAATGGGCTTGGGCAAAGGTTTAATGAATTTGACGGGTGGAGGTTCTTGTAGTTTATCCAATTTCTTTTCTATATCCTCCTTAAATTTCAAACCTATTTCTCCATGCACACTTTCATGACAAGCATCTACACGGGCCGCCAAAACAGCTTTGGCTGCCACCAAGCGGGCTGCTTTACGTCTTAAATCCTAGAAAATTAAACAAAATTTTAATATTGCTTTTAAAACTTCCCAAAAAAAAAAAAAAAACTTACTGGTGCCGTATCCTGGACAATTTGTGAAAAGAAAACATAGCCGGTATGAGGCAACATTTGAGTTTTAGAAAAGCCGGATAAAGTTTTCTTTTGGGAACCTAAAACCTGAACATTACAGGCGGGCATTTTGGATAGTTTAGTTAAACCACCAGCAATACCTAATAGTTTAGCAGCTGTAGAGGCTCCCACTATCATGGACAAATTGGGTGCAATAAAAGTCATGCGACTTTCGACATATTCATAAATTTTGGTTTTGAAATTATTTAAGTCGATGGCCATTTCACAGGCCTCATCGATTTGAGCCTTTTCGGCAGGCGTTAACAAGGTTCTATTATAAAAATAAATAAATTCCTTTAATACTCCTGTTATAAAACCAAATTACCTTAACTTACCCTTGTGTGGTAGAGGCTGTCACCGAAACAATCATAATAGTTGCCTGTGTTAAGATAGCCTGTAATTTTTCATTATTTTTCACCTGATCCAAATCATTGCCCAATTCTTTAACCGCCAGCAGATACTCAATTTCACCTACTATCAAGGAGTCTAACTCCGGGAAACGTTTTTGATACTTTTCCTTGGTAAACTTATGGATAATGGCTGCAATAAACACATTAAAAACAAATTGGTTGCTACTGTTTATTTCCTCTATTTCCCCCCATAAACTTACATATCTCATTGTCTATATCCACCGCTATGGCATTGGCCTCCACTATTAAACAATACTCCGGATCTGATTCTACACTACCCAACATTTCCGCTGAGGTACGCTGCCTTTGGGCATAGTGTTCTATTTGCTTGAGTATATACTGCAATCTATCCGAATCTCTTAATTTACAAAGTTCTCTAATTGACTGCACCTTAACATCCACTTCCATGAGATTTATACTGGGTTTTAATAGCTTCTCGGCAATTTCTTCTGCCTGAGCCGCTTCCTCGGCAGTTTCTTCCATGGCCAAATCATCCTCTGGTTCATTATCTTCCTCTAAATCGGCTAAAAGTTCATCAGCCAAAGACATGGTATAAATTTAATGCAATTTCTCGTAAAAAATAATTATTAAATATTGAAATGTATAAACAAAACGTTTATGCTGCACGTCAAAACAAGACAAACAGCTGTTTGCATAAACTTGGCAGTACTGTTGATAGCATTAAAAAGTATGCGAATCTACCAGCTTTTATATATATTTAATAGTAAACAGTGATGACCATTTCACTCAACAAAAAAGGTATTTTTGTAAACAAAACAGAGTTAATCCTTTATTTTGATTATAACTCAGCCATTTTTATCCTAATTTCGTCAAATTTCGGTAGAAATTTTCTTAAAAGCTATTACTACATTATATAGAGCCAGAAAAAATTATTTTTTTTTAACATGAAAGACATTTTAGTAAAAAAGTGAGGTTATGAAGTTTGTTTAATCATAACTCGAGTAGGGTTCTATAAATCGACTTTCGAATAATCGAACAATCGACTTTTTGTCGAAAAAAGTCGAAAAGTCGAAGTCGACTATTTTGTTCCAAAAAAGTCGATAACTCGACTATCGTCTATGAAAAAAGTCGAAAAGTCGACTTTGTAAATAAAAGTCGAAAAAAGTCGAAAAGTCGAAAAAAGTCGAAAAGTCGAAAAAAGTCGAAAAAAGTCGAAGAAAGTCGAAAAAAGTCGAAAAGTCGAAAAGTCGGAAAAAGTCGAAAAGTCGGAAAAAGTCGAAAAGTCGAAAAAAGTCGAAAAGTCGAAAATAGTCGAAAATTTTAAAAAAGTGGAAAAGAGGTCAAAAACTCTAAAATAGTCGGAAAAACTCGAAAAAAGTAAAAAATATTCGAAAAAAGTCGAAAATAGTCAAAAAGTCGTAAAAAATCGAAAAGTCGAAAAGTCGGAAAAAGTCGAAAAGTTGAAAAAAGTCGGAAAAAGTCGAAAAAAGTCGAAAAGTCGAAAAAAGTCGAAAAAAGTCGAAAAGTCGAAAAAAGTCGGAAAAAGTCGAAAAGTCGAAAAGTCGGAAAAAGTCGAAAAGTCGACCATTTATAAAATACTAAAAGTCGAAAAGTCTAAAAGTCGACTTTTAAATAAATGAAAAAGGTCGAAAAGTCGAAAAATCGACTTTTCATGAAATGGAAAAAGTCGAAAGGTCGAAAAGTCGACTTTTAACTAAATGCAAAAAGTCGAAAAGTCGACTTTTCGTTTCAACTATAGAACCCTAAACTCGAGTTATTTATGTAACGATTTCGCTCATGTTTGATAGAAATATTAATAAAACTATGATCATGATTTTTTTTATTTTATGTTTATGTGTTAAATCGCTTACCTGAGATTAAGAATACCGAACAGATTAAGAAATGTTGATATATCAAATAAAATAAATTTTATTTAGCAAATTAACAATTGAAGTACCAAAAATTCAATACAAGTGCTTTTTAATATAATAATGGCTTTTATTATTTTCCAAGTATTGACAACACTGGCCTTGGGCGCCAAAAATTGCGCATTATTGATTTTATTCTAAAAAATTTTTGCACAGAATATTAATCGGCCACACATTAATTGCAAAGGCGTCCTCGCTGTAAGTTAAAAAATGTCCAAAAAACTTAACACCAGCTTAGGCAGTTCAGTAGCCTCGCCCAAAAATAACTTATTCAATTATTTCTCTCGGTCGCCGGCGACCCTGGAAAAGAAAAAAATTCCTGTGACCCCATCAGCTGGAGGCGAGGAAAAACAACAGAAAAACGAGAAAAATGTAATGGAAAAAGAAAATCTTCAAAACAAAACCAATAAAGAGGAAAACTCAGCCAAGCAGAAGATCAAGAAATCGAAAATCATAGATTCAGATGAGGAGGAAGTGGCCACTACCTCAAAGAAGAGAAGAAGATTGGTATTGCAAGATTCCGAGGAGGAAGAGGAGGAACAAACGAAAAAATCTAGAGGAAAAGCAAAAGATGATAGTGACTATGAACCCAATAAAGATGAAGAAATGCCCTCGGATAATGAAGAAGAAAAAGGGGATTCAGAGGTGGAATCTTCCACAGAAATAAAGAAAAATCATGTGAGTTGAAAGCTGTTTCAAAATGATAGTGATTTTTGAAGTTTTCTTTAATTTTTAGAACAATAATAATGAACCCAAATCGAAGAAAACGAAATTGGATGCCACTCTTACGGCGGGCAGTTTTATGGATAAATTAGAACAGCTAAAAGCGGGTAGCGAGGGTAAAACTTCGAAAAAGCAAGAAGCTAAATGTGAAGAAGTTATTACCTCCAATTTAGATGAGCCGGTGGTGTGGCCTCATCAGAAATTGGAATTTTTAAAAGCGGATAAAATCAAAGATAAACAAGGACGTAGGCCGGATCATCCAGACTATGATCCCTCCACCCTGTATGTGCCACCCAAGTTTTTGGATTCTTTATCTCCGGTAAGTGATAAAATCTAAAACAAAAGTGTTAATTTTAATAATTTCTATTGTCAGGGAGTACGCCAATGGTGGGTTTTAAAATCCGAAAGTTTTGATTGTGTACTTTTCTTTAAAGTGGGAAAATTCTATGAACTTTATCACATGGACGCTGATGTAGGTGTAAATGAACTGGGTTTTACCTATATGCGCGGAGAATTTGCTCATTCTGGTTTTCCGGAAATATCTTTTGATAAAATGGCCTCGGTGTTGGTGGAGAGAGGCTATAAAGTGGCGCGTGTTGAGCAGACAGAAACTCCTGACATGATGACTGAAAGATGTAAACGTATTAAGCCCACTAAGTTTGATAAAGTGGTGCGCAGGGAAATTTGCCAAATTACTTCCCGGGGAACACAAGTCTTTGGCAGTCAGTGTCAAATTACACCTAATCATCAACCCAACTATATGTTGGCCATAGTAGAGCAGCAATCCGCCCAGTCAGGTGGCTGCAGTAGTTACGGCATTTGTTTTATAGACACTTCTATAGGTGATTGTTATTTGGGAGAATTTGAGGATGATACAAATTGTTCTCGTTTACTTACCCTGCTCTCGCATAATATGCCAGTCTTAGTGGTATTAGAAAAAGCAAATATTCAAGAAAAGACCCAAGATATAATGCGCACTGTTTTAAGTGGTGTTTTAAAGGAGTATATGCCCAATGTCGGTTCCATGCAGAGTACAGCTGAAAAGACCTTGAAAGAATTGGCCGAAAAATATTATGCTGGTGGCGACAATTGGCCTATGGTTTTAAGAACAATGCAGTCGGAAACGGATCACTTGGGCTTAACTCCTCATGCTGATGCCAAGCTGGCTTTGAAAGCCTTAGGTTTATGCCTGAACTATATGAAAAAATGTCATGTAGCGGAAAAAGTTTTACCCATGGCTCGTTATCATCTCTACCAGCCGCCCGATACTTTGGCCTTAGATAAAGTTCCCTCAAAAATCTCCACTAATCAAAGAGCTCATATGGTTTTAGATGCTACCACCTTAATGAATTTACGTATTACCGGCGAGGAACATTCGCTGCAGTCTACTTTGGATCAATGCTGCACCAAGTTTGGTAAACGTTTGCTGCATCATTGGTTGTGTGCTCCTTCGTGTGTTTTAAGCGCTATTGTCGAGCGTCAAGAAGCTATTACAGATTTTCTCAATAATCCCTCACTGCTGCAAGAGGCTAGAGCTTTATTGGCTCCTTTGCCAGATTTCGAAAGGCATTTGGCACAAATTCATCATTTTGGCAGTAAAATTGTGCAGGAAAGTCATCCCGATGGTCGGGCTATATTTTTTGAGGAGAAACAGTATAATAAAAAGAAAATGCAGGTAATTTGAGGGAAGAAATTCTTTCTGAGAAAAAGCTTTTTTGTTGAAAAAGCTTTTCTTTAAAAGGGATTTTTAATAGCTTTTTAGTAAAATAGCTTTCTAAAAGCTTTTTAATGCTATTTATTAAAAAAGCATTAAGAGCTTTTGAGTGAAAAAATTAAAAAGAAAGATGCTTTTTGTTAAAAATTGTTAAGTGCTTTTTATAAAAAAGCTTTAAGAGCTTTTGAGTGAAAAAATTAAAAAGAAAGATGCTTTTTGTTAAAAATTGTTAAGTGCTTTTTATAAAAAAGCTTTAAGAGCTTTTTGCAAAAAGGCTTTTTAAGATATTTTTGTAATAATCTATTTTAGAGTTTTTGGTGCATTTTACAAAAAAGCTTTTTAGAGCTTTTTTTACAAAAAAGCTTTTTTTAGAGCTTTTTTAAAAAAAGTTAAAACTATATAAGAACTATTTTTCCAAAAAGCTTCATATGAAAAAACCTTTTTAAAAATTTTGTTTTATGTTATTAAAAAAGCTTTTTTATATAAAAAATTCAACCGTTTTCAGAATTTTATTTCCATACTCAAGGGATTTGAGTCTCTGTTACAAATTCCTACAATTTTTCAAGAAGCTGTCTCAAAATTACTTAAACGTTTGACACAATACAAAAATAACGAGGGCATATTTCCAGACCTCACCGAAGAACTTAATTTCTTCAAGGTACAACTTTCTTTATTACTTTTATAAAAAAAAGAAAAGCTTAATAAAACAAACTTTCCACAGCAAGCTTTTGATCATACAAAAGCTGCCGAAACTGGTGTTATTGCACCCGAAAGTGGTGTAGATGAAGATTATGACAGAGCCGAGGCAAAAATCAAAGAAATCAATAAAAAGCTACAAGAATATTTAGTTGAACAAGAAAAAATATTCGGTTGTCGCATCAACTACTTCGGCTCGGATAAAAAACGTTTTCAATTGGAAATACCCGAAGCACGTTGCCGTAAAGTGGATAGTAGCTATTCTCTGGAGGGTCAAAAGAAAGGAGTAGCACGTCGTTACACTACAGATGAAACCAGGGTAAAACAAATGAAATTTTCCAAAAAAAAGACATTTTTAAATTTGTAATTTTCCAGAGTTTTCTTAAACAAATGCAAGCGGCTGAAGATGAACGTAATACTGTCTTAAAAGATTTATCTAGACGTATATTTGAGAAATTCTCCCAACACTATGATTTATGGAAACAATGTGTGGATTGTGTGGCCCATGTGGATGTTTTAGCCTCTTTGGCAGAATATGCTAGAACACAGCAAGTTATCTGTATACCTCAACTGGAAGATGTGGACGCTGGCAAACAAGCCTTTATAGAAATTGAAGAA